TTTACCTAAGAGAAGAAAAACAAATGTTCACACAGAGGCTTGTACTTAAATCTTCATAGGGGTTTCATTCACAATAGCCCAAAACTGGAAATAATTGCTGAATGGATATGTAAATTTTCATGGTATAATGGAACTGCTCAGTAATATAAATCAATGAATGGGCTCTTGCTGCCCGCGGCAGTTAGGGCTCCAAAATTTTGTGCGATTACATTTACATGGAATTCTAAAGCAGACAATCTATACTAATAAAAACCTAAGTGGCCGGGACTGGTTTGGCTCAATGGATAGAGCGTCGGCTTGGGGACTGAAGTGTCCCGGGTTTGATTCCGGTCAAGGGCATGTACCTTGGTTGCGGGCATATCCCCAGTTGGGGATGTGCAAGAGGCAGCTGATCGATGACTCTCTCTCATCGATGTTTCTAACTCTTTATCTCTCTCCCTTCCTCTCTGGATAAAATCAATAAAATATATTAAAAACAAAACAAAACCTAAGTGACCCTTGCGTGCGACATCATCACAAGATGGCCACCACAAGATGGCCATGAGCACAGCGGAGGTGGGGCCCAGCAGCTGCCCCACATGGTGAGGCCTGGGGGTCTCATGGCTCCACGTGGTGCGGAGGCCAGTCCTGTCACAGGGATCAGGCCTAAACTGGCAGTTGGATATCCCCCGAGGAGTCCCAGATTGGAGAGGGTGCAGGCCAGGCTGAGGGACAACCCTCACCCCGTGCATAAATTTTGTGCACAAGGCCACATGGAACAAATGAATAAGTGCCATGTCAGAGATTTTATTGTAACTTATCTTGGTTCTTATGTCCTTTGTTCCTTTGATAGTGTTTATTTCAATGCCTTTAATGGCAAAGTCTTGATATATTATGGGCCACAAATGTGTGGAAGAATACAATGTAGATTAGAAGCATCTTTAAGCAGCTTAAGAACTACGGCAATATTAATGCTGCCCGTAGGGAGACTTTGAGACCATTGCTTTAAGTATTCCTATTCATCTTAAAGGTTTTATTAATCAGACTTTAATAGGCTATGATATTATTGTGGTTTTATGTAATTTGAAGACCTAATAGATTTTGACCAGTACTAGGATTCTCTTTCTTTGCTTTTATGTTTACAAATATGACTGGAAACTTTAAAAATTTAAATAATTTGGAAGTTTCAATCTCCATAGATATTGATGGAGAAAGTATTATGACCAGATAAATTCACAAGAATTAATACCAAAACAAAATGATCTTATGAATGATATAATCTGAAATCCTGTAAAGATTTCTATTTGACCAAGATTATCAGTGTTCATGTCTCTTTTTGGAGGAGAGTGTGAATAGCTGGTAATTTGTCTTCCAGTTCATATGTGTGCATGTGATAAAGAAACGTATAATTAGGTAGGTGTTATAAATAGGATATGCAAAAAAGACATACCTACTCATGTTTCCAAGCTTTTATAGCATATGTCCAGTGGAGGTTTGCTGCTCTTTAATTTTGCCTTTTGGGCTAACCAGCTGACGCCCAGTTGAAAAGACTTATGTTCTTATGAGGCCACAAAAGCCTTAATGTTCAGTCTCCAGCCTCAGGTTTTGGAGAACGCCATGTACCATCAGCAGCTTCAGTTTCCACCCTCTAATGCTAACGCTCATCTATCAAACTTGAGGCTGAGAGTGAGGGAGAGGAAGCTTCCAGATAAACATACAACAGCGCCTAAACAGCTAATCACACTAGGCTTCCGCTTCCAGGCCCTATAATTAGAAGCCCTTCTTTTCCTTGTATTCCCAGATGACGCAAATGCATTTTGTGGCTTGGCACCTCATTTGGGGCGTAGGTTTAGTTTATGGCCAGGCTCGTCTGGTTTAGTCTTCTGATGCTGCATAAATAGTTCTCAAGCCACAGTCTACTCTGTACAAGTTTTTCCTTTTATGTATATCTGCTTTGTAACTTGTTTTCTAGAAGGAAAAAAAGGGTTTGTCATTTCTCCCAACAGAATGTGTGCAACAGAGGAAATTATAAATTAAAAGAAAGCACATGATTGTGTAGTACTACACAAGCTATTTCTTCCCTTCCTCTCGGCTCCTTTAATTTTTTCCTCCATCATTTAAAATTCTGTCAAAAAAATCAAGCTAACTTCTGGATTATGGAAGCCACATTTGTGTGGAGAAGTGGAAAAAGAAAAGTCTAAGATAGATATATAGAAGATAATAAGTATAAATTTTCAAATGAGTAGTTCTCTAAAAATTTGAATTTGTTTACATATTAGAAAGTTAGATATTAACATCAGTTTCAAAAACTAGGAGCATATAGAAAGTGTTCATTTGAATGCTTATTTTGAGTACAATATTGATCTGTAATTCTAAAAGAAATGAAGTTTATCTTTAGTAGGGGAGTGATATGTTTGTGTTATAAATGCAACTTCACGATAGTTCCTGTCAGAATGATGTTTCCATTAAATAGGCTATCATGTGCATAAAATAGCATTGTTGTGGAAAAGTAGAGTCAAAATCTAATAGTGGAATAATGGAAACAGTATGACTCAGCAAAAAAAAGAAAGAAAAAGAAAAAAGGAGTAAATAAATATTGTCCACAAAAGGACAATTAAACATTCATGCCCAATCTTAGCAATTTATTGTTTGAATAACATCAACAATATGGGAAGAATGTAAAGTTTGTCAGTGGCATTATTTCCATAGCTAGGTGCAGGATGAGAGGCAATCTTAATCTTAATAAAGAGGGACTATGCTAATTGACTGCCAAGCCCTCACAAGATAGTGGCACCCACAGCCACAAGATGGCAGTGCCCAGTCCCTTTAGCCCCACCTCATCCAGCCTCAGTCCCCCAGTCCCCTTAGTCCCATAGGGGAAGGCAGTTGGGGGTGATTGGGCTGGCAAGGGAGGTGAGTTGGGGATGATATGCTGGCAGGGGAGCAGTTAGGCGTCAATCAGATTGGCAAGGGAGCAGTTAGGGGGCAATCAGACAGGCAGGCGAGTGGTTAGGAGCCAGCAGTCCTGCGATTGAGCCTAAACTGGCAGTCGGACATCCCCTGAGGGGTCCCAGATTGGAGAAGATGCAGACTGGGCTGAGGGACACCCCCTCCCCACCCCTGTGCATGAATTTCATGCACCAGGCCTCTAGTGTTATATAAATGGTTATAGATTTGAATAGATCTCAATAAATGACACTTTTTATATTTAAAATATATTCTCCTGGAAATAACAATTGTACCAGCATCTAGTATGTTATTTTAAAATCTAATGTGGTGAGTAAGCCTATACCATATATTCATTAAGTAAATAGCAAACTCAATTATCCTTCACCTTTCCATTTAAATGTCTACCGTATCTTTCCACAGGAGCTTAATATTCTTTCACATCTTCCCTTTCAACAAGGAAATGTTTTAGCAGTAAAGAAATGCAATAACATCTCTGGTAAAGCAGAATAAGCTAATAAACCACTTTTCTCATAGAAAAATATAAATTCTGGACAAAATATAGAGTAGCACAAATTTAGCTATATGTTTATTATCCCTGGAACAAGAAAAAGTTAAAATAAAGTGATTTATCCAAACGGTCAATAGATAAATTAAAATTGGATATTATAAATAACAAAATTATCCAAAAAAGGGAAGGAAAAGCAGATAAACAAACATAGAGACACTCATAAAAATAGTAAAAAAAAAAAATATAAAATGATAGGTATAAATAAATTCAACCCTACAAATAAGTTATAAGTGTATGAACTTACAAATACAATTAAAAGTCAGGGATTGATTTAAAATAACAAGACACGAAAACTAGTCCCCAATTGTTATAAAAAACAAAGTCATTTTAAATATTGATTAAAAAGTAAAAGAATGGGAAAATATTTATTATGCATACACCAATGAAAATAAAGTTGTAGTGCTGGTATCAAAATCAGAAAAAGTGGACTTTAGAACAAAGGAAATAATAGGATTAAAATGGGATTTTTAAAAAATAAAGGGCATTAATAAAAAAACCTAAACTAGCATTGTGCTTAGATTGAATGCTTTCTCCTAAAACTGGAAACAACACCTGAATGTTGCTCTCACTAAACCTGTTTACCCCAGAAAATGTAGTAAGTGAGGAGAGAAAGAAAAGGCATGGAGTTTGGAAAAAAAGAAGTCAAAGTATGTCCATTCACATGCTGCATGATTGTGTGTAAAGAAAATTCCATGTAATCAACATAAAAACTTCTAGACCTAGCAGAATATACAGTGAGTATAAAAAAGGTATAAACTTAGAAGCAGATAGAGTTGTACTTTTATGGTTATGAGGAAAAAAAGGAGAACCTGAAAAAAAAATGCATTTTTAGAGGAAGATGTACACAAATATGGTCAGTTGACATTTGGCATGTTGACAATACATAACAAAGGACAAAGAATCTAGTTTCTTCAAGAAATCTTGCACATCATTTGCAAAACAATTGTATATTATTTGCAAAATTAATTTGCCGTCTCACACTTTGTAGAAAAATTAACTCCAAATGAATAATGGATCTAAATGGAAAATAAAAAAATAATGGAATTTTGATGAGAAGACATAAAAAAACTTTTGTAATACTGCAGGCAGTTCAGTAAATATTATGCCAGGGAAGAAACAAGTTTTAAACAGGTGAATTAAGTAGGGTATTAGTTGGTTTAGTAGATAAATTGGAGCTTCAAAATTCAGGCTTGAGAATTGGCAAAAGGTGGGAATAGGTTCCAATCATTTTCACATTCAGTTGATTAAATTTCCTATTTTAAAATGCTTGTGAACACTCTAAATTCATATATGTAAAACTTTTCTGCTCGTCGTGTGGTAACATGATAAAATAAAGTATTCTCATCATTGTATATTACATGGCCTTAAGGTTTTTTTTAATCATATATCACTGGTAATTTTTTTCTTTTGATAACATTTTAAAACATGATTAGTATTTTGTGAAAATATTTCATCCACATGCATAATCATTTTATTTTTATCCTTTTCTTGGTATGTCCTACAGGAATGCTTCTAGTCACAACAGACACCCTTGGCCATGACTTCCATGTCTTCCAAATTCTGACTCATCCTTGGTCCTCATCACAAAGTGCTGTCCATCATCTATACACTCTTCACAGGGGAGAAACTGAAGCCAAAGTAAGTTGTATAATTTTCAGAAGGTTTTTCTTTGTTTAAAACGATGCCTAATCTAGCTGGCTGTTTACATCATATTGGTGCTTAATATTAGTGAGAATATACTTGGTAATAGAATGGTTCAGATAAGAAAAAATATTTGTTCTATCTAAGTACAAAGTATGGACCTTGTTTGAGACTATTTCATACAAATTAAGTATAAAAACATATATTTCATATGAGTGGTGAGATTTGAACATTTGCCTTAGTAGATATTGTTAATGAATCCAATGTGCCCATTTCCTTGGGTTGCATACAAAAGTATTTGCAGATGTGTAGAATTAGCAGTTTAAAGTAATCTAGTAGTAGGAGGGTGTTAGATAAAAATGAGGAGAAAATTGGCAATGGTTATATTGATTATAAGAGTCTTAAGAAACATGAACTAAATGCAATGTATGAACTTACAGCCTGATTTAAAAAAAGTGTAAAGAGATGTTTTTCAGATAGTTGATAAAATAGACCTTGAGCTGGGCATTATTATGTGATATTAGTTCATTTTGCTGGGTCTGCAATCGTATTTTTTTTAAAAAATCTTTATCTGTTAGGCATATATTATGAAGTCCTAAAACATTATGATATCTGTAATCAATTTTTAAATATTCTGGCAAAACAAAACTAAGAGATAGATTAAACTATATTTGTAAAGTGTTAATTACTGAAGCTGGTCAATATTGGTGGTTGGAATTTTATAGCAATCTGTACTTTGTGTGTGCTTGGAAATTTCTCTAAAAGGAAGTAAAACAATATTTTTCAGTGTTCATTTTCAAAAACTTTCCTAGCTATTCTTGAGCATTTTCTAATTGATGTAGTTAAGAGTAACCATAGTGAGTTATATTACAGTTTGAAATCATCTTTACAATATAGAAATTTTACATGTAGGAATTAGATTTTAAAATTAGTTACTGCTGTGGTATGGCAAATCTTATTTATTGTTTTTTTTTGTTTTTTTAAAAAATATATTTTATTGATTTTGTACAGAGAGGAAGGGAGAGATATAGAGTTAGAAACATCGATGAGAGTCATTGATCAGCTGCCTCTTGCACACCCCCTACTGGGGATATGCCCGCAACCAAGGTACATGCCCTTGACCGGAATCGAACCCGGGACCTTTCAGTCCCCAAGCCGACGCTCTGTCCATTGAGCCAAACCGGTTTCGGCTTATTTATTGTTTTTAAAAATATATATTTTATTGAGTTTTTTTTACAGAGAGAAAGGGAGAGAGATAGAGAGTTAGGAACATGGATGAGAGAGAGTCATCAATCAGCTGCCTCTTGCACATCCCCTACTGGGGATGTGCCCGAAACCAAGGTACATGCCCTTGACCGGAATCGAATCTGGGACCCTTCAGTCTGCAGGCCGACGCTCAAACCGGTTTCAGCTATTTATTGTTTCATAGCATATTTTTATCTTTCTTCTTTGCTAGTCTCTATTATACTAAGGACAAATAGTTTTTAGTAATTTTTTGAATTTTATAAGTAGAACATAATTTTTTTGATATCATAATAGTTTTTTTTTCTCCAGGTCTGTTTTCCTTATTGCAACAGTGTAAGTGTTAGCTGTAGGTTTTTTTAAAAAAATATATATATTTTTAAAGTTTTTCTCATTATGCTTTATTTATATAACTAGAGGCCCGATGTACAAAAGAGTAGGCCTTCCTTTCCCCTGCTGCTTGCCTCACAGCCCCTGTTTTGCCCTGAAGGTCATCCAGTTTAATTAGCATATTATGCTTTTATTATTATAGATTATTATAGATTTTTTATGTCAATACCATGCTGTTTTGATTACTATAGCTTTATAATATAGTTTGAAATTAGGATGTGTGATGCTTTCAACTTTGTTTTTTTTTCTTCAAAATTTCTTTGGCTATTCAGCATCTTTTGTAGTTCCATGTTAATTTTATGATTATTTTATTTCTGAGAAAAATGTTAAATAGAATTTTGATAAGTATTACATTGGATCTTTTGATTGCTTTGAGTAGTTTAAGTATTTTACTAATATTAATTCTTCCATTTAATGATCATGAAATATCTTTCCATCTTCTTCAGTTTTTTTTTTTTTTTTTTTTTCAGTGTCTTATAATTTTAGTGTACCACCTTCTTGGTTTAATTTTTCTCGGTATTCTTTTCTATGCAATTAAAAGTGGGATTGATTTTTTAAATTTCTCTTTCTAATATTCATTATTAGTGTATAGAAACATAACTGATTTTGGTATGTTTGATTTTATATCCCATAACTTTAGTGAATTTATTACTTCTAAACAGTTTTCTGGTGGAGTCTTTAGAGTTTTTTATGTATAATAGCATATCATCTTCAAATAGAGACAGTTTTACTTGCTTTCCAATTTGGATCTTTTTTAATTTCTTTGTCTTGCCTGATTGCTCCGGCTAAGACTTCCAGAGCTATGTTTACTGAAATAGGCAAGAGTGAGAATGCTGTCATGTTCTTGATCTCAGAGGAAAAGCTTTTGGCTTTTCACCATTGAGTGTGATATTAGTTGTAGACTAGTCATATATGGCCCTTGTTATATTGAAGTATGTTTGTTTTTATTATTTTGGATGTTGAAATTTTTAAAGTTATTTTTTCTGTATCTACTGAGATGGTTATATAATTTCCATCCTTTCTTTTTTTCAAGTGGTATAGTTCTTATTCAGCATCCAGCTGCACATTGATTGAAAGCTGGACCCTCAGGCAGCAGCTTTTTTTTTTTTTTTTTGATAAGATTTTATTGAAAGCCAACAGCTTTTAAAGTCCACAAATATGCCTCTTTCATGGGAAGACTGGGTGATGGGCATTATAGTCCGCTGCCTTTGTGCTGTGCCTGGAGGGAGAGCAGGTTAAAAATTAATTTTAAACTATATAAATATTCCATTCCTCATCAAGCTTTGTATCCTTTTATTTATATCATCTGGTGTAATAGCTTCTTCTTTTATTCAATATGTTATATCATTCAATAATTATTCTGATGCTCAAAATATCCTAGATTTGTCTAGTTGGAGCCAATTGGCTTGGCATCTGTGTCCTATTGACATGTCTCCATTATTCTTCCACAGTGTCCTTCCTTCCTTCCGGGCACAAAGAATTTGCTTACTGTCATGTTTAGTTACTATTTGTTTTTGTTCCTTTTGTATGGAAGTTTTCAGTTACTCTATGAGCATTTTATTTAATGATTTAATATTTCATTATGCTGCTGGGCACATATGTACTCTGAGTCTGTTTCTTAACTTTGGTTTTAAAATTCTTCACTAAGTACTGGTATGCTATACCTCAGCTATCACCTCAAAGAATCTGAATATTTTAACCACTTTCACTGTTTTTATTGTTGTTGTTTTGTTTTGTTTTTTATTTATACCAAAAATAGGTATAAATATGCTCTTGTGTTAGCATATTTTATCATTTAATTTACCTATACATCCACCTGGAAATAGAGATCATGATTCAGTTTCTTTGTATCTCTAACCCTTGGCATACTGCCCTACACATGGACAAATCTTTCAAGGTAAAGATGTTTGATACTTTCAGTGCTATTCTTATTTAAGCAGAAAACCAAAAAGAAATTATTAAAATTATTTTGTTCTATGTCACAGCTTGTAATTTAGGAGCTTGGGAACTTCTAAACATCAAGATCTAAGGAAATTCAATTAATTACCATAAAATTAATTTTATAAGCTTCTACTGAAAACCGTATTTTGAAATGATATATACAATTTAACACTGGTGATAAAATCTATATGGCATGTGATCTGTCTGTCCATCTTTGAGTACTTCAGAATCATGTCATTCTGGATTCTTCCAAGAACTCTGAGGCTACTTTAATCAGGCCAGGAAAAAAAGTCAAAGTATGTGGATCTAATTATGTTGAATTAAGTTGTTTTGTGATCTATGACTTGGGATATCCTCTGCATCTGACAGTAATTTTCCTCATAAAGCACATATGTAGTTAGAAAAGTATTCCTAGTTTTCAACAGTAAAGTCATGTGTTGTAAAACCTTAAAATATTTTGTTGCTCTACTTCCGTCATGTCTTACTCAAGCAGACACAAGTCATTTTGTCCTTAACATGCTAATTTCTGTAAATGGTAAACTTGCTTTTGAAACATCTGCAGATCAGATTAGTGCTACTTTTACTTTAGAGTGATCCTACTCATATGGTTTCCTTCCCAAGGGGAAAAGAATCTAGCTTTTTTAGTATTATTAGTTGATAGTATTTGATGATCAGTTCAGATGAAGACAAGCAAATTTAGTATGGGAATGTCTCTTATATTACCTACGTATGCTTTTTACCGAAATGTAAATTTTACTGGACTTTCTGTATATTTACTTGTTAAATGTGGCATCCCCCACAATCTTGATTTTTGTTAGTTTCATCCAAAAACATTACTCCTATTGAGATGTAATCCTCATAATATAAAATTCACCCTAGCACAGATCCATCCAAAGACAAAGCATAAACAAATGGGTATGGTTGGCCCACAGTTATAGTAACCCCCAATTAAAGCAGAGCTGGCAGCTTTCCATTATCCTGTGCTGATAAGTCCTTACATTTATCCCTCCACCCCACCCATATTTTTATTGGGGTTGTATAGCTGCACCCCAGCCAGTAGTCACCATCCTGTTTCATCTTATACAAGCCATTAGTGACGTCCTTATTTATTTATTTATTTATTTTTTAAAATTAAATTATTATCTGTGTACATATTTTACCATTGCTCCCCCTCCCATACAATCTCTCCCTCCTCAGAGTTTTGTGTCCATTAGTTGTACTTACATATGCATGTATACAAGTCCTTCGGTTGATCTCTTATCTCCCCCAGATCTCCCTACCCTCCCCACTGTAATTTGACAGTCTGCTTGTTGCTTTACTGTCTCTATATCTACCTTTTGGTTCATCAGTTTATAATGTTCTTTATTATCCATAAATGAGTGAGGAGTGACGTCCTCATTTAAAGGGAGCTCTGTGAAAAAGGG